TCTTTGTCCTTGTGTGTATTAAAAAAATGCCCGCCCTCTATTTCCCTCCTCTCCCTTCCTAAAATCCTATTCCTAGCTTTTCCCTCTGCGTATTTTTTTTTTACCAGTGTTTTAGTGCCCCTTAATCTCTAACTTGTCTATGAAGTCTTGACAACACCAACACACTGCACTCTGTAACATATGACCTCATGTCTTTATTGCTAATGTGATTCTTATTCAATCATGTATTTGCATCATGACATCCATTTTTCTGTGGTCTTTTATATTCTAAAACTATTCAACCACTCTATTATTTAACTTATACATATCTATTCTCCTCAAGATTATGTGCCATTTGAAAGTTGGGCTGCCATACTTCTCTTGATTTATTTCTATAGTTCTCAAAAAAAAAAAAAAACCCAGCAAAACAAAGCATTTTAATGCTTTTTATGGTGATGAGTAAATTCAAATCCTAACACTATTACTAATGCATTTTCAGAATATTACTTCAACTTTTACTACAAACTATGTCAAATTATATCCCTTACTAAACCTACATCATATCATCATAATTCAAAGAGATTCTGGTGTTCTGAAGACAGTTGACACAAAAGATGAGTCTTTCATTTATTTCAAATGGATTTTGATGGATATTTTAATGGATATATAATAATGGTTTGATGCACATTTAAAAATCATATTTATTTAGCTTACTTTTCAATGCCACATAATACAGTGTGGTGAGACAAACAGAAAACATGCAACTTCCAAATTTAAAGCTATATATTTCATCAAATTCACAAGGACACAAACTGATTCACATTTCCAAGTTGTTAATGACACTGAGTTTGAGGTGTGACTTCCTTTCCTATTCCTTGTGAATAAGTCAGTGAAGTTTAATTATTTAATTATTGGACAATTTCAAGATCTTTGACTCTGTCCTGAGTCTACCACTGCCACTAGTGCATTTACCATTAAACAGTATGGCACCTCTTCATAATGACCCAGAAGATGTAAAAGGGGATTGCTCCCAGTTTTTTAGAGAAACTCTGCTTTGAGATGAGTGGTTATGATGAATTGAAGGAAAGAATTTGGACCTTGATATGTAAGAGATATGTGACTGAGAAAATTATTACAACAGGATTCCATTGAATTTTCAAAGTTACTCTCAAATTCTGAATGTAGATGCCTCTTGCATCATCTGTTTAATGTAAGCAAAAGAAAATGGACTGTGTCATGGGAAACAGCCAGTGTAGACTGACCAAGAAGTTAACCTTAATGAACTTCATCAACAGCAACTTCCATAAAAGTAGGTGTATTTACTGGACATCCATCCATCTTTACCTTCAGCAACATGAATAACGTTCTTATATTTTTGATTTGCACTCAGTTTCTATGTAAAAACAAAAAGCCTGTGTAAGTAGCTAGAAATTAAATGAGTAGAAATCTATGCTTGAAATTCAAATAGTGGCATGGGAAAATATTTTTACTGTAGTATATACATCTCTGATGTCTTCAGAGGAAATTGAATAGTATTTTACTGACTAAGATCAAACAATCTGTAATTACCACCCAGCGGCATAAAGTAAAATTGTAGCAAGTAGAGGCAGCATTAAGTTGCATCACATAGGCAGGCTCTATTCTGGTATATGCCCAGGCATTTCCTTGGGGAGCTCACATTGAAAGTGCATCCCACTAGGCATTGTATGGCAAGGTCTTAATTGCCCTTCTCTGCCATGTCTGAGTCTGTCTCTTTTTACATTTGAAGTCTTCAACAAACTTCAAATAACTGGAAAGCAAAACTAGGCAGTTCTGGCTAGTTTAAATGCACAGGATTTATTTTTTCTTTTTCTTTTCCATCTTTTTATAAAATCTGTCAATCCATTATCTATATCAGTGATTATAATATTGTGGATGTACATGAATCTTCTTGGCATAATTCTTATAATCTGAACATTTTATTCTCCTGCATATGAGGTATCAAAATATCTGCATTCCTTGCTGGATAAAATGCAGGTCTTGAGACGGAAAGGACTTTTTTCAGGATCTGACTCCAGCCTGCATTTCCTATGACTCTTCACCTCAGGCCCTAAACTCCAGCCTTAGACAATTATCTTCAATTCCTGAGTATCCAGTATCTTTCGCACCCTTGTGGCTTTGCCAGTGGACTCAAAGTAAATCTTAAGATAACAAGTTTAATCATTCCACTCATCTCTCTTTTTGAACCCTTCAATGGCTTCATTGATGTTGCCCACAGGTGTTTCTTGACCACAGATACGTCTCTAGAGCTATCTTTGGCTACTTCTGTCCATACTGTTTGTGTCCAAGCCATGCTCATTTTCATGCATAGCTGATTATTGCCTCAGGGCCATTAGATGTGGTATTGTCATTGCCTCATAATGCTCCTTCTTCTCTCTTTTCCACTTAGACGATTGTATTATCCTCTAGGCTTTAATATCAGTGTCATTTCCTCAGAAGTATTTTTACCTTCCTCTTCTCTCATCCCCAAATTAAATCTGCTTACCAAACATTGTCATTGTGTTTTTAAAAGACAAATCACCCATAGTTAACCCTTCAAATTTCCCAGCTGAATAAAAAATGCACCCAGGCAGAGACCTTATTATGGTGCCCACTCTCATACTCCAGTATGCAGCATAGGGCCCTGGCCCATGATGGTTTTTAAATTAGCAATTGATGATTGATATGTATTGTTTCTGTTGTCTAGAATCCTACTGTCTGGTGAAATGAATAGCATTTCAAGGTGCAACTCAACTGTCACCTCATTTTAAGAATCAACCCTGAATCCCTCTCTTAGATTTGTGTTTACTTTTTTTTTTCTCCACATCATCTTCGGGGATGGCTTGCTCATGCAGTATGGAGATGACTTGTGCTCATGTCTCCTTCCACATGCCTATCTATGAAGACTATGACTGTGATTCATTCCTTTTACATTGCCAGGATCTAGCATAGCACCTCCCCAGAGTGCACACTAAAACAGTGTTTCTATTAATTGATGAATGATTCTTTTCCAACAATCACATTAAAGTTTCTTTCTCTTTGAGAAAATGGAATAGAAAAAGTGGAGCAAACAAGGACATTGGGTATTGTGGATTTAGTCTGAGCTTTGAGCTTTGCCATTGAGGAGCCAGTGGAAAAAATAATTAACCTCTGTGATATTTAGCTTCCTTATATTTAAGGGAGATGCCAATCATGGCTCTTAAAAATTATAATTAAAGTAGTAAATGTAAAAGGTGTAGAATATACACTTTAACAAATTTTTTTCATTCTTTTTTTTCTTAAATAGTTTATTGTCAAGTTGGTTTCCATATAACACCCAGTGCTCATCCCCACAAGTGCCCTCCTCCATGCCCATCACCCCCCTTCCCTTCTTCCCCACCTCCGTCAGCCCTCAGTTTGTTCTCAGCATTCAAGAGTCTCCCATGGTTTGCCTCCTTCCCTCTCCCCAACTATTTTTCCCCTTCTCCTCCCCCATCGTCTTCCGTTAAGTTCCTCCTAATCCACCTATACGTGCAAACATATGGTATTTGTCCTTCTCTGCCCAACTTACTTTGCTCAGCATAACACCCTCAAGTTCCATCCATGTTGCTACAAATGGCCAGATTTCATTCTTTCTCATTGCCTTGTAGTATTCCATTGCATAGATAAACCACATCTTCTTCTTCTTTTTTTTAATGTTTTGTTTATCTCTGAGAAAGAGAGAGAGAGAAAGCATGAGCAGGGGAGGGTCAGGGAGAGAGGGAGACACAGAATCTGAAACAGGCTCCAGGCTCTGAGCTAGCTGTCAGCACAGACCCTGACGCGGGGCTCAAACCCGCAAACCACGACATCATGACCTAAGCCGAAGTTGGACACTTAACCGACTGAACCACCCAGGCGTCCTTTTTTTTTTTTTTTTTTCTGAATAAACCACATCTTGATCCATTCGTCAATTGATGGACACGTAGGCTTCTTCCATGTTTTGGCTATTGTTGAGAGTGCTGCTATGAATATACACTTTTTAAAAGGACTGATTCTATATATATGGTGTGCATCAGCTTTTGACCAAATTTCTAAAACCATTTGGTATACTTTTAAATATCCTTTTCTCCTAAAGGGGGACTTGGGGGGGAAATGGCTTACTTGAAATTTAAGACTCACTGAACAAAATTCAACAAAACTACCTCTGTTCAGTACAATTATTATGTAATGAGGTCCTGGACTAAACAAGTCATGTTACACAGTGCCTCCACAGGATGACAGACCTGGGGTCATACTGCTTGAGTTTAGATCCTAGATCTGTGACTTTTAAGCTATATAACTTAAGGCAAGCTACTTAACTTCTCCATGTCTCAGTTTTTCATTTGTACATGAAGATAATAATTGTACCCACTTTAAAGCTTTGTGATCAGAATTAAATGGGTTGCAGTTTCCCAAATGGGCCATGACCTTCATCATGGCCAGGCCTTTGTAGTAGATGTTCCTCTACCTCCCCCACTCCTTCATTTAGTCTCAGGTTAGCTATTCCACCCTCTAGGAAACTTTTGACTTTCCAAATTTTTATGGTCCCCTTCTGTGTTTCTACAGGCCCTGGTTCTGACTTTATGCTAATACTTGTACTGGGTACAACTTTATTTCCACAGAACTCCTCTGTAGGTGCCTCTGTAAGTGGCCAGATTTACTTTCTGTGCCCCTGTCACTGCTACTGAGACATGGATATGTTTCAGTCTCAAGGCTGCCGAGAGAGAAAAAAGTCTTTCTCTTTCTCCATACCCACTTTTTTTTCATGCATTGTCTTAAAGAGAACCTAAAGCAGTGCTGCTTGTAACCACATCATATGGAGGTTCTAAGAAAGTATCCTTTGGTGTTTAACGTTCATATCTAGGGACTAGACATGAGTCCATGGAGCCTGCTCAGGCAGACAGTTAGGGCCAATGCCCTGCTATTCTCAGACTCATCTCTCCTCAGTGCCGGTCAGAGCTCTGCCACTGCCTTAAACTTGTTTTTCCAACTCTCTTTTTGCTCAGAATGAATTAATTCCCAGGGAGCTTCACAAATCCTTCATGGAAAGCAATCTCTGGAGATCTCATTTCAACATTTCAATGAACATAACTAGCCTGGTCTGAATCTCAGCAATAGATATTTCCTATATTGAGGCTGAGGTTTCCATTGCACTAACAGCTGAGAAAAATTTCTCCCCTACATATTCTGTGTAGTGTGTGTGTGTGTGTATGTGTGTGTGTGTGTGTGTGTGTGTGTGTTTCTTTTAAGTGTAGGGATTATTTTACATTTCTTACATTGTGATAATATCTATTCTTGCTTTTCAGCCTAATTAAATGCAGCCTCATGTGCAGAAGGCAAATAAGTCAGCTGTAAGAAAAGATGAAATGAGAAGTTAGCCCAAGAGCACACAAAGGCATCAGCAAGTGTGAATATACTTCCCAGAATGGCTCCCATAAAAGTCAAGAAATGGTCCTCCAGGTAATAAAAGTTTAGAATTAGTTACTAGAGCTTCTAAGACCTTAATATGCAATGTAGTCTTTCCTGTTTAGTCAAATATTTCTTACGTATTCTGGCATTTGAATCAAATAATTTCTTGTTTTATTACATTTTAAAAATGCAGCTGAAAGTCATAAAGGAAAGCAGCACAAATTTGTGATGTGTGTATTAAATATCAGTTTAGTGCTCAACACAGCCCACAGTCATTCTCATTTTCCATGGCCATGACCCCATTTACATTCACTCATTTGTCCATTTAATATGTATTGAGCAGCCATAGGCAATATGTTAACAAATGAGCATGGCTGCATTCCAATAAAATTGCATGTATGGCCATTGAAATTCAATTTAATATTCACATATCACAAAATATTTCTCTTTAAGAAGAATATTCATTTTTCTTAAAGAATATTCAAAATTTCAACTTCTAAAAATATGTTAAAAACATTTTTAGCTAATAAATAGTACATTGACAGAAGGTTGGATTTGGCTTATGGATTATAGTTTGCTGACCTCTTGTTTAGAAAACATGGCTTAGGGGTGCCTGGGTGGCTCAGTTGGTTAATCATTTGACTTGATTTTGGCTCAGGTCATGATCTCACAGTCGTCAGATTGAGCCCCACATTGAACGAATCCCAGTGTAGAACCTGCCTAGGATTCTCTCTGTCTCTCTGTCTCTCTGTCTCTCTCTCTCTCTTTGCCTCCCACTGCTTGCATGTGTGCACGGATGTTCTCTCTCTCAAAACAAACAAACAAAACAAACAAACAAAAAAGTAAAGAACATGGGACATGAGTTCCATTAAAGGATGTGTAGGAGTTTTCCCAATAGACTAAGGCATTCTAGATTAGAGAAATAGTGTTTAGCAAAAGTATCAGTAGGTGAACAAGTATGACTCATTTGAAAAGACAAAAATATTATCATTGGCCCTTTGGGTTGGTTGCAGTGGAAGATACATGGAAGGAGCTGGAAGACTTCATGTACCTTACTGGAGATTTGAACTCTATTGAGTAGGCAGTGGGGAACCATTGTGGAATTTGTGTATTTTAGAAAGGTCACTTTAGAAGCAAGGTGAAAAAAAATGATGTGAGCAGTTCTAGAGAAGGAGAGAAAATGAGAAAATTATGTTGGTAGTTCAGTGAAAGATACACAGAACAGGTAATCTATTAGTTCCATTAAATTTTCTGATTTTCTCACATTTGCCATATCCTTTACTGACTCAGGACCACTGCAGATGATACTCCTTTCTTTCTGGATTTTTTTTCTTCTCTTTAATTACTTGACTCCTTCTCATCTTTTAGGTTTTAGTTTTAATATTACTTCTCCAGACAAACTTTCACTGACCCTTCAGCTCAGGATTCACAGCCCTGTAATACACAATAGGATGTTACACTTCTCTGTACCAGTGATCACACCCAGAGTATCTGCTAAATATTGACCTTCTGTGCTACACCATAAGCCATATGTCCACTCTGTATCCCAGTGCCTACTGCACAGTAGATGTTCAGTGAATATTTGCAGTGGTCATGAAGTTGGAATAGAGGATATTTACCAAGAAGAACTGACAGAATTATATGACTGAGTGTTTGATTTAATGGGATAATAAAGGATTAAAGATAATTCCTAGATTTGGGTAACAAAGTGATTGGTGGGACAAGGAGAGATAACAAAGGATAGAAGTCATATTTGAGGCAGGTGTGGGAAGGTTGATCTTGAAGTTCTAGTAGGATATCTGAAGAAACATACTAGGAAATATTTTGTCTGCTTTCTACTAAGCTAATCTGACCATTTTAACATTTGTTCTAGCTATTGCAATAACCTTTGCCTTGGTTTTGTTTTGAACTCTTTCACCCAACATATACTAAGATTTAGAACTCTTTCCCTAAAACATTACTTCTATTATGTTACCCTGCTTCAGAAGTTAAAAGAAGGCAAATTAAGAGTCACCTTTTTCCAACATGGACTCCAAATCCCTTAAACTGATTTCATTTCACTATTTTTTAAATGTTTATTTATTTATTTTGAGAGAGAGAAAGAGAGAGAGAGAGATAGTGAGCAGAGTAGAGACAGAAAGAGAGGGAGAGAGAGAATCTCAAGCAGGCACAGAAACTGATGTGAGCTTCTATCCCACAAACCATAAGATCATGACCTGAGCTGATATCTAAAGTTGGATGCTTAACCAACTGAGCCACACAGGTGCCCCTCATCTCACTATTTTGCCTTATTTCCTTTATTGCCCAACATAAGTATTCTCTGGTTGGACTGGTCATCTCATTTTCCACATTTTCACCATTATCTTTCCTGTCTTTACTTGTTCAATGCCTCTGGAAACAGAATTCTGTCTGTAATTCTCTTTTTGCCCAACAGAGAGCTAATCTTCCTCTAAAAGCCAATTTAATTTCCATTTTTTCCTTGATGATTCCTTGAACAAATTAAATATATAAAACTTGTCCTTTCTTGGTTTGCCTTAATCATGTGGATTATTTCTCTGATAATAATAGCATCTTCCATTTTGGGGTGCCTAGTGTGAGCCAGCCCCTCTTGTGATCTCATACCATCTGTACAACAGATCTTCTGAGTTAGTTATTATTCACTTTTTGGTTTTTTTTTTGTTTTGTTTTTGTTTTTAAGACTATTGGTAATTTATTTTATTATTTTTTTTTTACAAACAGTTTATTGTCAAATTAGTTTCCACATAACACTCAGTGCTCATCCCCACAAGTGCCCTCCTCCATGCCCATCCCCCCTCCCCCCCACATCCATCAGTCCTCAGTTTTTGTCAGCATTCAAGAGTCTCTCATGGTTTGCCTCTCTCCCTTTCCCCCACCATTTTCCCCCTTCTTCTCCCCCTTGTTCCTCTGTCAAGTTCCTCCTAATCCTCCTATACGTGCAAACATATGGTATTTGTCCTTCTCTGCCTGACTTATTTCGCTCAGCATAACACCCTCAAGGTCCATCCATGTTGCTACACATGGCCAGATTTCATTGTTTCTCATTGCCATGTAGTATTCCATGGTATAGATAAACCACATCTTCTATTATTCACTTTTTGAAATATGGAGATTCTGGGGCACCTGGGTGGTTTAGTCGGTTAAGCGTCCAACTTCGGCTCAGGTCATGATCTCACAGTTGTTGGGTTCGAGCTCCGCGTCAGGCTCTGTGCTGACTGCCAGCTCAGAGCCTGGAGCCTGTTTCAACTCTGTGTTTCCCTCTCTCTCTGACCCTCCCCTGCTCATGCTCTCTCTCAGAAATAAATAAAACATTAAAAAAAAAAAAAGAAATACGGAGATTCTAAAATTCAGGAAGTTTAATTTTAACTCTACCAAAGACTTATAGTTGGTAAATATTGACTCCAGGTATGACTATCTACAAAGCCCATACAGCCACTTACTATGTTGTGTGAAAGCAAAGGTGTTTTTGTTTTTGTTTTAATTTAGACTCATGAAATGTGAGGGTGTCACTTTAAATATTTTCTCATAGAGTCAATTTAATGTAATAGGCTCTGGGCTTGGAAGCCTAGGATTTGGATGTCTCTTTCTCAGTTGAATGATCACAAGGAAGCCACAAAGAGTTCTATGACCTTTATCTACTCATCTGAAAAATGAGAATCTAGACTGCTTAAGAAATTAAAAAATGAGATGACTATATGACAATATTTGAAACTGTGAAACAATAGACACTATACAGTATTGTTGTTAGTAGGGGTCTTGAGTAGAATTTCAACATAAATTAAAAGTTTTTGTCTGAAAACATGAAAAGAGCCTAAGTGTCCATCAACAGACGAATGGATCAAGAAGATGTGGTTTATCTATACCATGGAATACTACATGGCAATGAGAAACAGTGAAATCTGGCCATGTGTAGCAACATGGATGGACCTTGAGGGTGTTATGCTGAGCGAAATAAGTCAGGCAGAGAAGGACAAATATCATATGTTTGCACGTATAGGAGGATTAGGAGGAACTTGACAGAGGAACAAGGGGGAGAAGAAGGGCGGAAATGGTGGGGGAAAGGGAGAGAGGCAAACCATGAGAGACTCTTGAATGCTGACAAAAACGGAGGACTGATGGATGTGGGGGGGAGGGGGGATGGGCATGGAGGAGGACACTTGTGGGGATGAGCACTGAGTGTTATGTGGAAACTAATTTGACAATAAACTATTTGTAAAAAATAAATAAATAAATAAATAAATAAATAAATAAATAAATAAATTTTTGTCTGAAAGCGGGAGATGGATTAGGATCTAAAACTTATAGATAAAATGAAGCTGAAGGGAATAAGGAGTTGTCAGTTTAAGCATTCACCAAAGAGAGTAATTTAGGTATTTATTGAGGATCAGTTATCAGGGATAAGACAAAATCAGTGGATGATTTTTAAAAAGTTAAATATTATACATGGTCCATGCTCTCAAGAAGCCATTTTTCCTAAGGCAAATAATGTGTGTGTATATCCTTGTTATATGTGTCTATATGTACAGCATATATAATTAAAATTTTAGAGATATCTATGTAAAGGTATAGATATATAGATATATATGAATTTTATATTTATATATTTAATTTGCTCAGTTTTCTTTACTTAACTCTCTACCTTAGTAATTTTAGCTGCCCTTTTTGCTTTCTTAGCACCTGGTAAAATTGATTATATTTTATATATATTTTACATGTGTGCCTTCAAGAATTTATCATTGTAGTCCTCGCATCTAACCTATCAGTAATTAATTAATGTGATAGGAAAGGGAGGGAAAGAGGCAGGGAGTAAAGGAGGGAAGGAAGAGGAAAAAATCCAAGTCACTTTGTGAACATTTGATTTCTCCTTGGAGATTTTCCCAACTAAGGAGAATTTTCAAATTATAGAGTCACAAGGATTATCTGTCTACATGTCTTCCTTTTCACATGCACACAGATTTTATTGCGAGATCATTGTCCTTCCTGTGGCCTTTTTATATAAAGTTCCATTCTTTGTCCAGCCCACAGTCCTGCTG